AGAAGTGCTCCATGTTGTACCTGGGGACATGGGGGGACACGGGGACACGTAGGGCGAGAACTGCTCCGTGTTGTACCTAGGGACATGAGGGGACACGGGGACACGGGGACACGTAGGGCGAGAACTGCTCCGTGTTGTACCTGGGGACATGGGGGGACAGGGGAAACGTAGAGCAAGAAGTGCTCCATGTTGTACCTGGGGACATGGGGATACATGAGGATACCTGAGGACACACATGGGGGGGACACATAGGGACACCCAGGTGACACCCATGTGACATGCGGACACGCGTGGCGCTCATGGACGGTGTCCCCTGCGTCTGGGGTTGTAGGGCATGTTGCGCTGGGGGGATGTGGGGACACAGGGACACACGGAGACACACAGCGACACGCAGGTGACATAGAGACACCCAGGTGACACGTGGTGACACGCAGGGGACACGTGTGACACTCACATGGCCGGCGTCCCCGGCGTCTGCGGGTTGTAGGGAGCGTTGAGCTGGGGCGACGCGGGGTCGGGGTAGCCGGGGGTCTGCGGGTTGGGGGTCCCCCCGTAGCCCTGCGGTGACGGCGTCGCCTCCTCCTCAAAACCGTAGTCGAAGTCCTCGTCGGCCCTGAGGGGACGGGGGACACGGGGACAGCAGAGACGGGGACAGGGGACATGTCGTGATGAGGGTACATGGCACGACAAGGGGACACGTCGCCATCAGGGACGCACGGGGACGCGTCAGGATTGGGGACATGTGCTGGGGGACACGTCGCGAAGGGGGGACATTGCCAGGCACACGCGGTGGTGACGGGCACACGCGGTGACGGGCACACGCTGCGGCCGCCGCACCTGGAGGGCGTGTTGGGGTTGTTGGGGTCCCAGGCGCCGCTCTGGGCCGGGGTCCGGCTGCCGTCGTGCAGGGGGGTCTGGGAGCCGTAGTGCGGCGTGCGGCTGCCTGCGGGGACACCGGGGACACTGACACCGTGGCACCGCGGGGACACGGCACCGCGGGGACACCAACACCGGCACCGCGGGGACGTCACAGGCACCGCAATCCCTGTGTCTCCCCACGTCCCCCCATGTCCCCTCCCTGTGTTGCCCCACGTCTCCATCCCCTGATGTCCCCATGGCCCCCTCCGCCATGTCCCAGTGTCCCCGTGTCCCTCCCATGTCCCCCCATACCCCCGCGTCCCCCCGCGTCCCCGCCGTGCTCACCGTCATGCAGGGGCGTCTGGGAGCCGTACATGGGGGTGCGGGAGCCGGCCCCGTACATGGGCGTCTGGGAGCCGTACATGGGCGTGCGCCCGTAGGCCGACGTCATCCCGCCGGGGCGGCGCGAGCCCCTGCCACGCAACAGCCGTCGCCGCCGGAACCGGCACCAGCATCGCCCACCGGCGCCACCCACGGCAGCCCCGGTGCCGCCGTCCCCAGGGTGCCTCATGACGAGCAATGGCTGCGCTCGGGGTCCCCACCCCCAGGGCCGCCCCGGTGTCCCCAGCTGGTCCCTGGTGTCTCCATCCCCAAGGCCACCCTGGTCCCAGTGTCCCTGCCCGTTGTCCCTGTTGAGCTCAGTGTCCCAGGCCCCGAGGGCTGCGCAGTGCCCCGCACGGTGTCCCCGTGTCCCTACCCCGTGTCCCCGCCATCCCCGTGTCCCCATAACCCTGTCCCCATGTCCCCGTGTCCCCGTGTCCCCGTGTCCCCTGTCCCCGTGTCCCCTGTCCCCGTGTCCCCGTGTCCCCTGTCCCCGTGTCCCCGTGTCCCCGTGTCCCCTGTCCCCGTGTCCCCTGTCCCCATTCCCTGTGCCCACCGTGTCCCCGTGCCCACCGTGTCCCTGTGCCCACTGTGTCCCCGTCCCCACCATGTCCCCTGTCCCCGTCCCCACCATGTCCCCTGTCCCCGTGCCCACCGTGTCCCCATGCCCGCCGTGTCCCCTGTCCCCGTGCCCACCATGTCCCCATGCCCACTGTGCTCCTCGTCCCTACGGTGTCCCTGTGCCCACCGTGTCCCCTGTCCCCATGCCCACCATGTACCCTGTCCCCGTGCCCACTGTGTCCCGGTGCCCGCCGTGTCCCCTGTCCCCGTGCCCACCATGTCCCCGTGCCCACCATGTCCCCATGCCCACTGTGCTCCTCGTCCCTACGGTGTCCCTGTGCCCACCATGTCCCTGTGCCCACCGTGTCCCCTGTCCCCGTGCCCACCATGTGCCCTGTCCCCGTGCCCACTGTGTCCCGGTGCCCGCCGTGTCCCCTGTCCCCATGCCCACC